AAGCCATCAACGCAAGCCTGTGCCTGAATCCCCAGCTTCGCGATCGCGTTACACTTGTTCCCACTGCGTTAGTGGCACCTTGGGAAGTAGGCACTAAAACTTGCATCGTCAAAAGCGCAGTGGAGAGAAGTTCTGCTGGTGATTTGGTTTGTGGTGTACTTTGCGAGTTTGGAGATCCTAATTGCCAGGTTGTAACAGCACAAACTTTAGACTACGTACTTTCGAGATTGGCTGTTGCAGAAGTCCAATTAGCAAAGATAGACGTTGCTGGACATGAGTGTGAGGTTCTGGAAGGAGGCCAGTCGATCTTTGATTATTCCCCACACATTGTGCAGGTGGAGACAGCTCGAAGTGCGGTCAAAAAATGTGTTCTCACACATGCCATCAAGCACGGATATCGAGCAGCTCGCGTTGGTACTGCACTATCTTTGGTTGCACCTCAGACTACACCTACTGCCATTGGTATTGAACCTGGGTAGAGCTGATCGGTGTTCAACATGGTTCAACCGCTTGTGGGAAACAGAGACGCACAAAGAAAGGTGAGATAGTCACAATGTGAATATAGAAGACAGTAGCAGTGAAGATCCTGCACAATAATGGACAATGTCTTGGTTGGCTTCGCCTCAATGTCAGTGTTGCTTCGATCAAGATGATGGATGTGAACAAATACGAGTGGCATGTTCTTGCCGGCGGCGGTGGCGGCGGCGGCGGCGGCGGCGACACCTTGTTAATATTGCACAAGCGTCTCTGAACGCACAACAAGTGCGCTGTGCGCTTTGGAAAAGAGCTTGTACCATCTCCACTAGCAGAAGCCGCATTGCACCCTTTACTTCGATTTTGCAGTGGAGCTGCATCGAATGCTTCTAGACATTTCAAGGGTCAGAACTGATTGATTCAGGTTGATCATATCGGCCTTTGTGAAACGTTGCAGAGGGAGGCACATACATTGGTTGGTTACACACACTAGCCCTCTGGGCAACAGAGGACCGCAGCTGTGCTGGCCCAGGGAATCACGCAAAAAGAGAAGCGAGCCACTTGTCTTATTATGATTCTGACCATGGTGATTCTTGAGTTATCTTAAACATGTCACTGTAACTGGAACTGCAGGAATGACAACCTCGAAGAGGAACCCCTTAGAGCCCTAGAACAATGGATTTTCGATGATTTTCGGTGCTAATAATTGAGAGGGGCCGTTGCTCGGAACGGCAACACAGCGGCATCAGTTTTGTGCAGTGATTCTTGCTGTTGAAAAAAGACACTTCATTGCTGACAAATATTGCAGTATATGCAGCCATGGAGCCATCTACATTCACGTTCCCCTTCGCCAGGTTCAGGCTTTTGCACCTTGTTCTAATCATCATTGAATATGCACGTCACATTGCATTGCAGGTGCCCAAATCCCGCCCCTCGACTCGCTGCAGCCCCTTCACTCCCAGTCCGACAAAGTGACAAGGTGGCCAAAGTAACAGGTATATACACAAGTGCAACTTGCGCTCGCGGAGCTCGCAGAGCTTGCAGAGGGTTCAGGACGTTGTCACCGTCGAGGGCACCCAAAATCACTCGAGAGGGGTTAGCTGTTAGGCCCCACCCAGCCAGATGATGTCAGGACAGGTCAACACTTGCAGATCAATTGCAGGTTGCGTTTATACAAAACCTTTGTTCAAAAGTTTGGATTGACCAGGATCATCTGTGGAATCGCTGCTTCTTCGGCAGGTAGTGGTGCTGGGCCTCTGCACCTCCTTTACCATGCGCCAGTTGTTGGGAGGCTAAGTCAGTGCTCTCGACCACATCTTCCAAAGCGGCTGTGGAGGTTTGTTGAATATATTGGGAAAGATATATAGGTGATCGAATCTCGATATGACGGAGGTTGACAGTTTGAATCTCCCCTTTGGAGTTCCCTTGGCGACCCTACAGAAGCATGCCTCAAGGTGTGCCGGCGAAGCACAGATTAATAAGCTTGGCGTGATATATAGACCACGGTAGACATGCAGCCTCAATGCGCTTTTCGTTCTTTGTCTCCCAAAGATGTGGTGACGAAAGTAAGAGTTGCAACTTTTAGCTTGCTGACACCTGAAGGGTGTTCATATTTGACAAGCTTTTTGAGGATTGGCCGATTGAGGTATTTCAGCGAGTCCACCTGATACATATTTGCACTCTCCAGCCCCTCACTATGACGGGCTGGACACCTCAACAATCTCCATTGACAGGAGACCAGTGAAAGTCAGTAAACGCCCAGGTGCCGCCGACCCCGAATATAGTAAATCTTCATCCACACAGCAAGGGTTGGCCGCTTGGCCCTCTTCTTAGAAAAGATGACAAGGAACACACAGGGTGAGGTTTGCAAGCCCGGCGCGGAAGGCCCCACCCGCCACAGCACTGGCCCATTCCTCGCTTTAGCCCATGTTGAAGGTCAAGCCCCACAACAACCCTCCAGAGTGGCTGAACAAAGGTGACAGCCTTAGCCTTAGCCTGCCCTAGCCGATGTTGTTCTGCGCGTAAAAGCGGCCAGAGAGAGTCCCAGAAGAATGATTGCCCAGGTTCTTTCGCACTCCTTGCAAGGCGCCCATGTTGACAAGGTCAAGACCCTGCCAGAACCTTTTCCACAGTGGCTGGACAAAGGTGAACGTAAGATGTTTCTTGGACTTGGGGCAAGGCTTTGTGCCCCTGTTGAACACCCAAGAAACCAATAACACAATTTTAATGGTCAGTGTTCTTGCGAATGGAAGTTTACCAACTTCAACGTGTTCCCATGTCCATGCGCAGCCCGTGTGGCTGTGATCAAGTATAGTATCTGTCCGCAGCCTGAGGAAAACAAGCTCACGTAACATGTCGCATGGTAGCGGAGCTGGGCCGCTTGACCAACCAGCTGAGGCCAACCTTAGAGCTGGAACCCTCGGCCGGACTGGTAGTGCTTGGTCTTGGTGAAACGCGCTGGCTGAATTGGAATAATTGGAAGAGGGGCGGGATACAGACGCAAGATGCTTTGACCATTGTTGGTGTGAACCTTTCAATCATCATGGTACGGGGGAGAGGGTCCTGATTCCGGTGCTTTGACAGCAGCAATTTAACTGGTGCTACAAGAGCCGCAGAATCAGAGGGCGCAGATGGAGACATTGAGTCAAGTGGTGGCAGTTGATTCAAGTCGATTGTTACAGGACTCAAGGATCGCTCCAACCCGCAGCGCGCCACGCCACTCCTGCAAGGATCGGCGCCGCAAACGGCAATACCGCCACCTGGTGGACCTCAAGCGCTCAACCTTGGTGGTACAAGCCCAGCCGGAGTTCGTACCAGTCCAGCAATGGCCATGCAGCAGGGTGGAGTTGACAGCAAACCGAGGACTTTCAATCCAACATACACAGGCCATGTGGCTGTGATCAAGATAGTAAATAGTATCCGTCCGCAGCCTGAGGAAAGCAAGCTCGCATGACGTTTCGCGTCTTCAGAAACCCAGCCGGTAGAAAGGCGTAAAAAGCCTGCCGCATCTCGATTGCGCCAGGTCTCTGTGAGCTTCTGAAATGGAGAGCCTTTCCAGTAGATTTGATTCTTCTGGATTCACAAGTTCAAACACACAAAGTTCTTCCTACTGGATTGCAACCGTGTGTTGTCAACGGCGCCAATTATAGCCCAAATGCTCGAACTGCATTTGAGCTGCAGCTGCTTTGATCAAGTTGATAGTACCGGAACACAGAGTCCATGCAGAAGATCGCCACACTTAGAACCTGTGCGAAGCAGGAACTTTCTCTTTGATCGCCGTGGCGTCTGCTGGCAGGAGAGTTCTGAGACGGTGACCACGTTCACCATTGAGCCATCGGAGGCGGGACCAGGAGCTTTGTTTGCTTGGGTTTTGGGTGGATGACGTCCTGGCAGGTGCCCTCGCAATGGACGGCACTCCATGTGGCCCCACGGCGCCTCTGCGACGGCAGCGGCCTCTATATCTTTGCCTTCCCCAAATACCTCCCCTCGCGTCACCTGGGCTACACCCCACTGGATGAGGCGACTCCGGCCCCCGTGTGAAGCCCACTACACCACCTACCTCGTCTCCTCCGGCGCAGCGGAAGCGGAAGGATATGGAGACGTCCACAACACCTGTCAGCGGTCTACACCCGCTTCCGACCAGGTGACCATGATGAAGGAATGTATGGGTAGTTCGTGGCGGATCGTGCCCAAAGGTCCTCTCATTGTCTTGCTGTGTGCACGAGAGGCCCGGGTGATGGGCACCGGGCCGGAAGCGGGAGGACCCGTGTGCCACTTGGTTCCTTCGGGCGACAAAGGCTTACAAAGCGTGGCCCCCCTGAGTGGACATGTGAAGAGGGCCAAGTCGCGCAGAAGTGCACAGCCCTGAGCAGCCTGAGCCTGAGCACCAATCCACTGGCAAAATCTCCAGGCCATGACACCCTGAACAGTTACGATCTTAGCTGGTGTACCCCTGCAATGGCGATGATCGCAATGGGCAAGTAACGGGCCAGGTCCAGACACGGGACACCCCTGCTCTGGCAGCGCCCACACAGTGGAACCTCCCCCCAGAAGCAGACGCGGACGGTGCGGCCTCCCGTCTCTGGGAAAGACGACGGGTGAACAGGACACTCACTCGTGGCAGCCTCTAACTGGTCGGTTTTCGAAAACAAACCATTGCGGGATGGAAGGGTCTACCACACCTGCCGAGTCCTGGCAAGTAAGTAAAGGACTGGCGGTCCTCCAGCTCTGTGAGGGGCATGGGCGGCAGGTCATTTTCTAAGTGTAGGACATTTACCATGCACTCTAAAACCAACTTTGTTGTCCAAGCCTGTTTCTGAGTATTTGCTCGTCGCTGTACATGTTTGTCCAAGTTTGGCTTCCCAAAGACGCAAATAACGTTCCCAACATCAACTAAGTGGACATACCCATTTTCCCAGTTACACAGGACAGAGGCAATAGATCCAGGCATGACATGTCTATCATAACAAGTCCCACTCAGAATGAACTCGATGAGAGGTTCCCTCCCGAACCATGTTCGAGCCAACACAGGCCATGTGCAAAAGATGTGTTGTGACCCCTGCTGGGACACCTTTCTTGACCAGGCAAGGACGGATGCAGCGGATGCGCAGAACCAACAGGCCAGTTTCACAAACTCTCAACTGGTTGCGCCTTGGGTGGTGAGTTTTCGAACAGACTGACACAAACTAAAAAAGAAACAATCCATCCTTATTATATATATACTGTAAATTATTGTGCTCGTCAATTTCGGGAGCAGCATAGCTTGATGCAATGTGGAGCACTTGGGGTGCGATGTCCCAGATTCTGGCCCCATGACCACTAGTCGGAATCCATGAAGCTAGCGGCGGCCCGCAGCGCTGGATTTGAAGGCCTCACATATCAAGGGCAACGTGCATCTGACTTGCAACTAAGATACAACTACTAGTTGCAACTACCAGGATAATCGCGGATCCTATTTTGTGTTTGGAACAAGTCTCGTTGGAATTAGAGACACAACCCTCTCGTATTTCAGGATCCGCCGTTTCAACGTCTTTGCCACGGGCGCTCCCAGGAACCGGACGTGTTGCGGTTTCCACCGCACTGACCCGCCTGGCCGGGCTTTAAACACTTTATGTGCCTAGCCTATAGACGACGGCTTGATGGTCTAAAGCTTGCCCGTTTATAGCAACGGAATTAGATTGGAGTATTGTTCCTATTCATACCTTTGCAATGGTTTACATACGAGCACTCATGACTCATATCCATATTCATATGAGTGCTCGGTTGGTTGCTTGATGATACACGTGGGTTCCGTTGGATGCTGGATATGAAATACTCTAGAATACTCAATGATATGCGACCAAAGGGTCTATCAAAGGTCTTTCATTTTTTGTCAACATTCACATCACTCTGATTCGCACTGTCATTGTTGCGGGTCACCTGAGATGCAGCATGCACAACTTGGCGGCATTGCCAATTTCATTTGACCCATTTGCATCCATTTGCTACCTTTCTTTCGAGGGAAAGACGGGTGCTAGGCTGCCTGGCTGCTCCCAAGAAAATGACACGCAAACATGTTTCACTACCTCAACCTCCACACGGACAAAAGTCCGGCGTCGATCCCATCACAACGCCAGACCCAAGCGAAGTTGGGGTGGCCAGAAATCTATATGCTTCCAATCGATATGTTATATGCATCCAGGAGAAAACTCTTGCGGCCAGAAACCAGCATTGCCCATGCCCCTCCTGTAGTGCACGGAAGCTCAGAGTCAGGTGGCAGAGTCCAGGGCAATAGAGCTAAAGAGAAGTCAGGGTGAGAGTTGATGATGGTGTAATGACCTGCGATTTTCATGCATGGAGAGAATTGGCGCAGAGTCCTGGATTGAAGAGTCCAGTGAGCATATGCTACACCGGGAGGATGCATTTGCAAAGCAGCAAAACGGTAGAAGAAGTAGGTTTACATGGGGGGCCACACTGCTCAGCAGTACAGGACTCTTCGCAGTGTTATTGGGGGTCCCAATCTGCACAGCATGGCAAAATCGTAGGACTCTGTGATTGGGGAGTAAAGGGCCTTGCCAGCCACCACGATATTTTTGTTTGGAGATGGTGGGTGAAAGCTGGTATGAAGTGGTAGTCACTGTGAGGCACCAGTGCTTCTGACCTCATGCTTCTTCTCTGTGGCGCGTGCATGCCTTGTGGACTTCAATGTGGATGTTGAAGTGCGGCTCCTATGTTAATTATGGTTGTGCTTCTCCTCCTCTTTTCGTCCTCCGGGTCCACAAGTAACGTAAGCGGAGCTTTGGTTGGCCCCTTTCATTACTTGCTTCAAGAGAAAGCTTGCTTGCCTCGTGGCTTGGCCACTGACCAACCCTAACCCAAACAATCCTGAACGGGATGTGCAAACCTTTGAGGATCAAGCCCGGCTACTTTGATGGTGAATAACTCTCATTGATTGCTCCATGGGATAAAGAAAATGAGCTGGTCGGGGGAGCAGTCCCAATTCATCTCAAGCCCTTTTTGCAGCATGAGTAGCCTATTTGTTTTGTTTTCATGTTCCTTTCCTGAGACATTGGATGTGTGGCTCAGATCACGAAAGACGTCAATCCTGGAACACACCTATTTTTGACCCATGGAACCTTTGGAGGGGGGCCATTTGGGGCCTATGGAGGCAGCAGGGAAGAGACAGAGGATTTGGCACGATGGCTGGAGAACGATTTGTGTGCCATGTGTAAAGCTGCCGCAGCTTGGTGAGGCTATTGCGGTCTGAGATTACTGGCAATTTATATACTGTATACTGTATACTATATAACAAAAGCATTGTGTTTAAGAGTAACATGAAGGAAGTGAGGAGTTAACAGAAGGCGCACAAAGTTTGATAGACCAAAGGCTTGCTGACGTTTCGCAGCGTGCGTCCTGGCGTGGTAGTGGAGCCGGTGTGCCATGCTTTACCGCACAGCTTCTGTATGAGCATTTATATACAGTAGCCAAAAGCGGCATGTCATCTGAAGACACGTTTCAAGTTCATGAGCTGGAGTGATCTAAATAGGTTGGTGTTTGAATCTTAGCAAGATGTAGGGTGTGGCAGTTTGTGCACTTAGTGCCTATGCATGGTCACAGTGGGTCTTCAAAACATTTTTCTGCAGGGGCTGGTTTACAACCTGGATAATATTTATATAAGGACTCAGTAAGCAATCAACAAGATTTTTACTCATTTTTGGGATTGCGCAGCGTTGATTTTCAAAAGACGATCGATGGTGAGATTGGGTTAGCATGGACTGGCTGTGAAGTGCAAATCCGGATTTCCGATGCTGGACCTGTGCAAGCTTGCATGCTTTCGCTTTGACATCGCTACATGTGCATATTTAATTTGGTTGATCCCAAGGTCCGGCAAAATCAAGCTTTGCCAAAACATGTCAGAGCTGATCGAGAGCTTTAGCCTCAGCGGTATTGGCTTGGCAATGCCATGTGGGGTTGAGGGTCTTGAGGAAAAAGGGATGATCGCCAAGACCCACCACACCCGAAAGGACCTTTAAGAGCGCTGTACTTGGTTGATGTGGTGGTGATTCCGTTGCATTCAGGCTATGATGCTTTCAGCTTGGATCAATATGGTGTGCTCCACGACGGGCGTGCTGACCTCAGCGGTCTCCGAGAGTCTGGAGGGTTAGCTTCTCCATGGTTCTCCTTGGTTATTGGGGGGAGTAGGAGCAAGGACGCTACTAGGAACAAAGGGCACCGCTACTAGGAGCAAGGACGCTACTAGTAACAAGGCATTTCTACTAGGAGCAACCAAGGAGAAGCTAACCCTCCAGACTCTCATTACTCACAACAAGTCGTTGCTCATTTTGCCCCATGGGTATACATGGAATGTCCTGCGTATCAAGGTAGCCAAAAGGAACCTTCCCCTTCCGCGTACGAAGTCGGTCGGGACAATCTCGAACAAGTAGTGCTTGGAAGCACGAACGCACGTTTCTCAACGCAGGGTCAAGAAGGTCGTAACCTGGTAGTCTCAAGGGCCCTTCATTGAGCCGGGATGTGACAGCATGAAATGCTGAACCTGAAAGACATGTCATGACATGCATGATGTCTCTTTCGAGCATCAACATAGGAAGGAGGCTTTTTCGAAGACCTCTCGGAGAAAATTCAAAAACACTTGGACCCATTTCTTTTCGATGTGTCCGGCTCAAAAGGCCTCTTCGGGATCTTTTCAATCCCTGTGTGGGTAGTACTCATCACTATGCAGCCAGGCTCCATGCTGATTCCATGGTAGCTGAACACAGCGGGCTGGCGTTCGATCTCGATCATAGTGAGTCGGGGTTTGACCCTGACAATCTTTCAGCTCACCATCCAAGTAACGCTGAGCTTGTGTCTTCTCAACTCGATTTGCCCCGTTTGCCAGCTTCATCTTCTTGACCTCATAGTTCAGCTCGCTTGACATGACCATGTAGTCGTTCATGAAGCGAATCCATTGTCGGATCTGGTGGTCATTGAAGTCACTCGTGGACTTGACCGTCATGAGCTCCTTGAATCTCAGGCAGCGATTTTGTGCTCTGTCTTCATTCACAAGGAACGACCTCATAGGTTGGTCAAGTCGAGCATCTCGTGGATTTCCCAGCATTCCTTTGATCTTTCGCCATTTCCTTTGCTTTTCTTCTCCTTCAACTTCTTCTTTGAGCTTTTGCCATCGATCCCATTCACTTCGTCCCACACACGATTCTGTGGAACTTTCCGAGCTCTGGTAGTCGTCATTCATGACGTCCATGTTCTCCTCAAAGTTCTGGCCATTGCCAACCACGCCATGGCTCGAACCTAAGGCTACGACCGGACCCTGCGCTGAGAGTTGTGCTTCCACTCCAGCGCCTGCAGTGATGACATCCTTCATGAACAGAAAGACCAGGTACACGAACTTGTACAAACCAAAACACGAAAAGAACAATATCACTGCCATTGTGTAGATGAAGGTCCAGTCGGTTGGATTGGCTTCTGAGATCTCTGCAGCTTCGGCGCCTGGCATTGAAGCGAAAACCAAAGTGGACATAGCGATCTTGGCTGCTTTCTGCCACACCTCTTCATGGGTTCTGAGTGATGAAGGTGCTTGTAGTAATGATGCCGACTGCAGTATTTTGTCTTCTTGCCATGGAGGATGGCCACATCATTCTCACAGCCAGGCAGGCGACATTGACATGGCTTCTTCATCTCTTCTTCCTCGAACAGGATCTCCTGTCCAAAGAGCTTCTTTGCAGCTTCCTCATGCTCTGCCAACTCCTTCTCCTTGTCATCCTTGGTCACCTTCTTGGCGGCGGTGTACGACGGGTCGTACTTCAGCTGGTGAACTCCTCTCTTCAATTGAATCACGAAATTGTCGCGGGCTGATGGTTTTGTCAGCCCGTCGGCCAATTGCTGAGCCGAGTTCACCCATCGCCAGTAGCCAGCCATTGCCTCCATTCGCTCTCTCACGATGGCCACCTCTATGGCCGTCCTCTTTTCTGCGAGCCGAAGTCCGGAGGAGACAGACTTTGCTGAGTCAAACAGGCTCTAGGCGTCGGTGATCAATGGAGTTTCACCAAACAACCGAAGAGTGTCATCCTTCTCGATCTCGATGAAGGGCTGAACCATGCTTGCAGCAAAGACCGAGAGACGAGCGACGCATTCGAGGAAGCTTTCTCGATTGCCAGTCGATGATGGTCAATGGAAAGGGACGTTCACTGTCCAGCTCTGAGGCGGTGGCAACGAAGATCAGATAGCCACCTTGGGACGATCCGTCTGGCCTCACACTCCAGGATGCGTCACAGTAGACACCGAACCTCAGTTGTTCAAGACCTTCTCCGTGCTTTCGAAGGGTCAGCACATACTCCTTCACCATTTCCTTGGCGAACCTGAGGGTCTTGTTGGTGCTCAGACAATCCTGGATGGTTGGTGCACTCGAGCTAGCCTGGTGAATGCTTACAGAAGCAGCCAGTCGCGGTAGACATTGTCCAGAAGGCCAGGCTAAAGCTCCGATCAAAGCTCTGAGATGCTTGTGTTCGGGTCCTTCCAAGGGTGCATCTGGTGTTCCCTTCCGAGCCTTCTCAACTGGGATCGGCTTCAGTTTCGTGATGTACTCCTGAAGGGACAATGTGATGGTGTCGTTGTTCAGACTCTGTTGGATTGCCGTGCCACAGAACATCAGCTTCTCATGTTCACCAAAGTCCCAGGTTCCAAACCGGACTCGACTTGCGAAGTTGGTCGGCTCTTCACTCAGCCTTCTTGGAGTTGCTCACATCACCCACTCGAGTGATTCCTTCTCCAGCCCCGAGGTAGTCATCAACATGCAATCCCAAAATGCCGTCGACCACAAAGACATCTCCATCCTTTTGGATTTTCTGGAACTCAGGGTCGTGCTTGGTGGCCTTTCGCAGGGACAGGTACAAGCAGCGGTCGAGTGGATGGTGTACAAAGAGACACTCATTCACCATGAAGCTGTCTGCCGTGCTGTGCCATTGTCTTGGCGCCCTGACGTCTCCGAAGGCCGGTTTCGTTGCCTTGAGCACTTGATGATCCCTGAGGTTCATCATCTTTTCAAGCCTTCTCCTCATGTCACTGGATGGCTTGATGTAGATGCGAGTGGTCTCATCAATTGAATCGGCTTTCATGAAAGCACTTTTGACATCAGCGGAGAAGACTTTCCACTGATTCTGACAAGCCCACTGGAGGGTCAACATCTTGCCGACTCTGGAGAGCGTAGGAGATTCCTTCTCAAGATCATTCTCCAGCACGTCCTTGTGGCGGAATCCTTGGATGATGACTCTTGCATTAGCCACAGGTCCATCTTTTGTCGGCTTCCACCTCTTGAGCATTCTCGCTGGAATCAGTTCTCCTTCTTGGGTTTCGGACGAATCAACAGCTCTCCAAGCATGGTTCTCGAGCCAAGCACGAAGTGCCTTGTCTTGGGCATTGTCAAATTCGTTTAGGCTCTCGGCAAGGAGTTCTTCATCTTCAGCCTCTAGGGCTTTCATATGTGCCAGGAATCGAGGGTCTTCTTCCGACACAGGCTTCATGCCATCAAGCTGACGAGCCAGATTGTAGCTCTGGAAAGCCATTGCCCTTTCATCTCTCATCTGTGGACTCCTTGATCGGCCCTTGACCCTTGACTTTCCTCATGCCCCTTCGGCTCCTTCTCCTGCTTTGGCTCTGCAGCTGTCGCGTTCTGAGCTGCATGTGGTTCCGCTGCTGCCGAGTTCTGTGCTGCGTGTGGTTCTGCTGCTGCCGAGTTCTGTGCTGCATGTGGTTCCGCTGCTGCCGAGTTCTGTGCTGCGCGTGGTTCTGCTGCTGCCGAGTTCTGTGCTGCATGTGGTTCTGCTGCTGCCGTGTTCTGTGCTGCATGTGGTTCTGCGGCTGCCATATGCTCTGCTGGCGCTTGTGGTTCATCGTTGGGTTCATCCATCTCAACATCCGGCACTGCTGGAAAAGTTTGTGCCTGTGGTGCTTGTGCTTGTGTTGGTGACGCGTGAGAAGAACCGGGTGCCCCAAGATTAAGAAATCTGATGGGACCACGCACTGGATGCAAAGCCTTTTGGAGTTGTTGTGTCAAAGGACCAGTAGCAACCGAATGAGGCATCAGCTCCAAACGATAGGCTTTCTCTCGAGGATTCTCAGGGCGAACGTGTTCAGCTGCAGCTCGAACCAGAGAGCTGCCGTGTGCCAGCCATACGCATGAGGTGGTTGTAGTGTTGGGCTGAGGCTCAAGCATGCACACAATGGCTGGTCCCCTCCAGCGTTGAATCTGGAGTTTTTCATCGCCGGAGCGCCAGTAGTAGGCCCAGTCTCCCACATGAACTTGTGGTGGTGAGGCTCGTGGTCGTGCAAGTAGGGCTCGACGCAATGTGGCGTCATGATTGGCGGCATAGAAGGCTGTCGCGGCTGCATGCCTCAATGAGTGGTCTTCCTGAATTGCACTTTCATAGTCTGGTCGTGGATCATGTGGTTCGTGCATCAAGCCAGTTGGATGATTTGGTGTACTGCCGAAGACAATCTGGCTGGGCGATGATCCATGAATAGATCTCAAGCGATTCCGTTGTTGGCATGACGCAGCAATTGCCAGTTTCAGGTCGACCTCAGGACGGTCACGCAGCAGCTTGAGCACTTGACAGCTAGCCTGTGGTAGGGATCCAGGCTTGGCAAGCTTTCTCTGAACATCAGAGCCACAGTTTCCACACTCATAGTTCTTTGCGACTTGAATGACCTCCTCAGGGAACTTGGCATCTTTGAGAGCCTTGCAAAGTTTCTCATTGCTGGGATGCCCCAGCTGACGATGCAGTTTGTTGACGACCTGAACTGCTTTCTTCCCATGTGTCTTCATGAGTGCTTTCTCCTCCTCTGCTATTTGATTCGTTTTCATCTCCTTCTCCATTTGCTCCACCTCCATTTCCTCAAGCTCTTCTGAGACGAAGATGCGGACCATCTCTCGCTGTCGCCACTTCTCCTCCATGTCTATCATGACGGCGTCAGCTGCTCGTCGGGTGAATCCAGCTTCATAGTTTTGCATGGGTTTCAAAGCTTTGGACTTTCCATCCATTTGGACATGATCACCCCGATTAATGGCATGGTAGGTCAAGAGCTCGAAAGAGATGATGACTTCCAGTTCGGATTCTTGTCGTTTTCTTCACCTTGCCAATCACTCTTCCTTCAGGGTCTTTGTGCACCAAGCCGGTGCGGCAGCGATGACAAATCGCATCGACCAAATTCTCATTCATTCTGTTCAAAGCTTTTGTACTCCATGAAGCTGCCCAGTGCGGCTGTTCTAAGCCAAATCCAATGTCCTCCTCATCACAGACGTCGGACGCATCGGCACTGAACTCCAGATGGTTTTCCTCCTCCCATTGTCAATCAGCTTCCAATTTCAGTTTGGCGTCTGGGGATCGAGCGGCTAGGTTCTGCATGGTGCTCCATTTGGTGCATGGAGGTGCCAGCCAAACGAAGTGAGGTCGTTCAGATCGAAGGAGGTCCAAGAACGTTCTCCTCACCTCTTTCTTTCCAAAATCCCACTCAGGAAGTGAGAACGTAGCCACGGTCACATTTGGCCGGCTGGCCCATCCACATAGAGCTCGAAGTACAGCAGCTCCTTGTCCACCATGGCCTTTATGGGCTTTTCGACAATGTTGGAGACATAGACCTCTAGCTTGGTCCTTGAGTTCCAGCACCGCTTCATCATTTGTGTCCATTGCATTCTCTTCCATGGGGATCTCGACATTCCACAACTCTCCATAGATCTCCTCAACCACGTGGACTGCATCACACTTTCCAAGGAGATCAATCACATAGTGTCCTCGGTGTCCACGTTCTGGAGTGAACCAGTCGCCATCCATCACTTTCATTTGACCTGAGGCGAAATCGTGTTTGGAAGGTCCGGCCAGGGACAACGGACACCACCAATGGCAATCTTTGGTCGTTGACCGTCACCGGGAAGTGGACCTCATAGTGTGAACGAAGAATCTCACCTCCGCCAAATCGAAAGTCTCTCTTCGTGGGCACGACCTTGACGTCGGCCTGATTGAGATGTTCCAACCATCGTCGCCACACATCCTGTCCGGCAATGGTGCGAGTGGCTCCTGAGTCCACAATAGCCTTCCCAGGCTCTAGGGTCGTGAACAGGCAGTGCTCTTCAGTGACTGTCACTGTCTCGAAGCTGTAGTCCAGTTCCTCCACCATGTTGCCTTCTTCAGGGACTTCTTTCACACCGCTAGCTTGCACACGGTATCGTTTGAAGCGAGGGCCGTGTGTTGCAGTGGATCCAGTCAATGGACTTTGGACTCTCTGTGGATCCCGTCGAAGAGCTCAGGGTTGTTGGTCGGCGAAGTCCTGACATAGGGCGACGATTGTCAAATGTTCTTCTGATTCCTGAACCGGATCCCTTGCCCTTGCCCTTGCCTTTGCTTTTGCTCTTGCTCTTTCCTTTTCCTTTGTTCTTGCCACCTCCGCCTTTCCACGAGCTTCTTCCACCTCCATTGTCATCAGGCGGAATGGCAACCACGGGATAGAAGCCTCTTGACAGTGCCAGCTCTCGCATCCTCCGCCTGCTTTCCAAGTAGCTGATGTATGCTTCATCGCATTGGTCATAGGCTTCGTCCAACTCCTCAGGCCATTCTTCATCTTCTTCAGCCTCATAGGCTTCCTCCTCCGGCCATTCGTACTCCTCCGTCATCTCATAGGCCTCATCGTCGTCATAGGCCTCCCATTCTTCCTCATAGAAGGTCTCATCTTTTCCTCCAGTTCGTAGGTCCTTCGTGTTCGGCTTGTGATCTCCACCGAACATCTTCATCAAAGCCTTCTGGACCTTCTCATACTCAAGCTCACCTTGACAGAGGGCCTTTATCTGAACATAAGTCCATTTGGGAACTCCAGCACGCGTCATGAGATGCCAGCCGGCGAGGAGATTGGGTATCTGCACCTTCACCTCATTCATCTTCGTCATCATGGTGCGATGTCTCACGAGGTAGGCTTGCGTCTCCTCATTCTTCAGGCGGCTGAACTCCGTGAAGAACTCATCACATCGAGCTGGAAGTTCCACCTCATGTTGGTACTGGTAGATGCCGTCGAGGATCGCATAGATGGGTTTGAACGGAGTTGAACTGCTCTCCAAAGCCGTGAAGTCCATCGCCTCCGTCACATCCCAGGCCAAGTCATTCAACCTGGATATCAACAGTAGTGCTCCTTCAACAGCTGCTTCAACTGAGCGACGATGGCATTGACGTTCAAATAGTTCCAACCTTCGACGAAAGCTTCTACAGGATCGCTGGGTCAATGCTTCCGTTGACGGACATGCTTTGGCGAGTCCGCCATCCAAGCCACGGACCGGAGGGGAAAAAGGTAGTTGCGCTCCTGATCCAGTTGGTGAACCATCATGTTCTCCTCCGCCTCGATGTGGCTTTCCATTGCCTTTTCCTGCCATGGGTGTGCGCGATCTTTGAGATGACCACTTTCTCTTCCTCAATGAGGATCTTCAACACAAGCGCAGTGATGTAGTCTCACCCAAGGCAAAGACAACCTGGAGCGTGTCGCGCTCCGCTACCAATATCAAGGTAGCCAAAAGGAACCTTCCCCTTCCGCGTACGAAGTCGGTCGGGACAATCTCGAACAAGTAGTGCTTGGAAGCACGAACGCACATTTCTCAACGCAGGGTCAAGAAGGTCGTAACCTGGTAGTCTCAAGGGCCCTTCACTGAGCCGGGATGTGACAGCATGAAATGCTGAACCTGAAAGACATGTCATGAAATGCATTGATGTCTCATTCGAGCATCAACACTGCGTACTGTTTTACATAAACTTGCACCTGTATTGGCACTGGATTTCATCCCACGACTTCTCCGACTGTCGCCACGTGAATGCCCCAGGGTTCTTTTCTCGTGCTGTGGGCTCTCAACAAATGCTGACAAGGTTCAGCTCACTTGCAACTTGGGCGCCTTTCGCAATCTTGCTCCTTTGACTTGCCCCTTTTGGGTTGCTTTGCGGCGGTTTGTAATCGCGGGGTGTCTGCCAAGGAGGTTAATTGTACTGCGTGTGCCCGGTGTACTGCCCGGTATTGGTGGGTTCTGGGTCTCCTTGACTCCATCGCAGCGATGGACCATCGCTCTGGCTTGCAGTTGGGTCAATAGGCTTTGCTGGCGGCTACTGGTCGCCTGAAAGGGGGTGATGGCGGCTGCCAACAAGCATCTTCGGGCCATGATGTTTATTTAGTGGCTTCTCCCACACGCATTGTGTCATTGGTGCCAGTAGTTGTGCCATCATGCACTTTGGATTGCTCATCACAGAAAGGTTCCTTACTTTTGCGATTTTTTGTGCAATGATGGTTGGAATGTATTGGTGGAGCAGATTGTTATCGAACTCAACCTTGTTGCTGGTTTGGACCTGGCAGTTGTCCACCTTCCCGTGGTCAGGGCGGTTTCGCAAATGGAAGTGCTTCCTGAGTAAAAGATGGCTTGAAGTGCCAGAGTTGGTGGGTAATCTTCGGCTGCGGAATCTGCAGCTCAAGGGGCACGGAGATTGGGCTGGAATGTCGCTGGCTCAAATGTTCCAGCAGGTGCTTTGCGTATGGCGGCTTCCGAGCACTGCCATCGCTGCTTTTTATGGTGAGTCCAATCCGCGTTAAAACATGGTCTGCCACTTTGGTGATGTTCGGGGGAAGGAGGTCTAGGCCACTCAGACGCACACTTGGGCCTCCTCTGTTGGAGGTTTATGGGCCCAAGAGAAAACCAGCCCCCATAATCAAAAAGGTTTAACTGAACAGTTTGAATCAAGGGGGTCCTCACTTCTGTTGATTCTTGAAGCGGGCTAGAGATAGGTCTGGTGATCGCCCTTGTCGCCCAAACATTGCAGAATGATAGCGTGCAAGTGGACACTGGCAGAAACATCAGTTGCTGATCGAGATCATCTTTAGTGAGCATAGGCGTAAGGTGGGTTATAGTACCAGATGGATTTCGTCCAGACCACGGATGGACAGTCATGCATGCTGTTTCTCATTCACTAAGCTTTATGTCAGTTGCAGTCTGGAAAGTATGGTTGTTGCTTCTTGACCGTGATCCCTTTGTGAGAGGGCATTGGCCAAGAGATACGACCCCCAGCCTCCAAACGTGATCGGTGCGAACATGTCTCGAACCCACAGGCGAGGCATATCCTGGCGCTGCAGATTGCCTGGCGCAGATCAAGGTGGAGATTCTCTTCCGTGGACCTGAAAAAGACAGAACCATGTTCGTGGCAGTCTTGGACAACAACTGGCACCGTTGAACTTGAAAGAAGCAAGTGCAAATGGCAATCGATTTGCACTAGCAGATGATTCGTTTTGAAACCAAGCCATTCTTTTCAGCCCTGTCCTTCAAGGCTTGCAGCTGTTCAGATTCGTTTCATGACTCTCCAAGAATCTGAACAATGTCTTTATGTGTTTTAATGTTATATATATATATATTATATAGATTATTGCTTTAAACGTACATATATCTATAATTTGAAGCACCTATTGTGTTTTGCGTTGCAGTGGAGGCGGCAGGCAAGCCTTGCGTGATCCTGTCAAACTACGCTGGTGGGCCACTCAGCACCCCCTAGCCGCTCAAAGCCTAGTAGCGTCCTTGCTCCTAGTAGCGATGGCGATGCCCTTTGCTCCTAGTAGCTTCTTGTTCCTAGTAGTAAGGCCAGGAGCCCCTAGTAGTGTCCTTGCTCCTAGCAATTCAAGCCTTCTTCGACGACTTGTTGCCAGGTCGAGCTGATCGACAAAGGGACAAATTGCCGCACATAGGCGCGGACCTTGGAGGTCTCAGCATTCTATCAAGACGTCAACAGCGCCAAAGAATAGACACAAAGTAAAACAAACAAGCGTTCCTACATTATCATTTCGACACGAAACAACGATGCGATTATTTTTCGTGTGTTCGCTGAAAGGATGTTTTTGTTTGAGGCTTTGACCCGGAACTGTTTGCTGGTGTTGCTTTCCACTCAGATCAGCTCCTCTGAAGGTTTCAACCCTTGTTGAGACCCATGACTCCAATGTCAACCACGCGAAATGTGGCTTCTTGTTGAACATATGAAGAGTGTCCGCAGGTGCTGGCCCTGTTGGTTTCGTTGAATGAGGTGACATCGGGAGAACTGACTCACCGCTACTTGTCAAAGCAAGGCCATGGAACTGCCACGGATGTATGTCTTCAATCATATTTCCTTTCTTCTCCTTTCAGCTTGAAAACGCTTTGAGTATGTAGACAGGGGTTGGAGCGGGCATATAGTTGGCATATTGAAATTTGGATCTCAATCCCTTCATCCGGGTGTGAGGCTCTTCAAGATGTCTATTGCAGCCACATTCACATCTATCCTTGGCAGTTCAAGAGAATTGCTGAATTGCGCACTTCTGTACCCTCAGGATCTTAACAGTCCTAGCCAGGCAAGCTGGGCAAGCGTGTTCTCTGGATTGCTTGGTCTGAGTGATTCCGGCTCGCTTTATGGAGCTTTTGCAAAAGCAGAGAACCTTTTCAGTTTCCTCAGAATTGAGCTTTTGGCTTTCAGACGAAGGGTCCCTCGACCTCCCCTTGGCCTCACAGCCATGACTCCAACTGAATTGACAAGAAACTTGATGTTTGTGCCCAACCATACTCGTGCAAGACACGATGAACCTTATCATGTGTTGCTGCGCGACTCGGATATAGAGTCAGCAAACATATCACCAGTCAAAGCTGGCAAACTATGGCAAAGTACTTATTTTCAAGTCTACACCGTTGTTCAGTTCGCCAAGCTACTGTTTGGACACCAATACTTTGGACAAGTTCAGGTTTGTATCGGAACTCAGTATATAGGTCTAACCTTTGCGGCGAGGAGAGAGCTGAGAGGCCTGAGCGACTTCTTCGATGGGCTTGAAGGCTCTGAAGATTTGACCTTTTAAACTCTGAAACTTGAATTGAATGAATGCTACTGGTAGCATGTCGGGATTGATGCTATGGCTGATCTGCATACAGCGCGAAATTATACCAAAGGTTTGATGGTTTGATTTTGACCTACGACCATGACCGGCAGAACCTTAATTGCGTTCTACAGCAGGGTCTTTCCTTTGTGTCGTGAGACATCCAACAGCCCTTATGGCCATATCCGTTTGAACATGGTTACATTGTAATTTTGTTGCGGTGCTAGGATACACCTTGGCTTCCAGTGTGGAGGAGGCAGACTTTGCCCCTTGGCTCACAGGGATTGCCTGGTGGTGCTTGAGATACATGCCGATAGACAGACAGTATATTTCTGCACCGACTTGGAACCATGGAAACCCTCGTCTCAAGTGACAGGAAAGGGGACAACGGGACGTGAAAAGTGGTTGGAACTCCTTCAGGAAAGTGAGATGTGCTTCTCTCACAGATCTTTGCAGTGGACTTTCATCGTGCCGCTCTTGGCGGCATGCCGAGTTTATGACTCCATCTACAAGACAAGAGACACAAACAGCAACAGGCAAGCGCCCCTCAGTTACTTAGGGGTGCCCCTTCTCAGCTTGAAAATGCCCTTGGACGAAAAAGGGGAACCCCCCGATGTATTCCCCTGTCTATCTCTACCACCAGTCGGGGTGGCTGCAATGTCGACTTCACCCCATCGCAAAGGTACTCTGTGCCCGATGTTGGACAATCACGTTGATCTTGGCAGTAACATCGGTCCACTCTTGGCAGCACGCTCCATCTACAGGACAAGAATAACAAGCACCAGGCAAGCGCCCCTCAGTTCCTTAGGGGTGCCCTTTTTCAAGTTGAAAATGCTCTTGAACCCCCCAACCTACGCATTCTGCTTTCTGTTTCCAACAGCAGTAGACGTCGCTGCAATGTCGACTTCCCCCCATAACAACGGTAATCCTTCCCCGAAATTAAACGATCACATGATCTTGGCACTAAACTTTCGTCGGTCCACTTGTAGCAGCATGCCGAGTTTAAGAGTCCATCTACAAGACAAGATAAACAAGCAGCAGGCAAGTGCCCCTCAGTTACTTAGGGGTGCCCTTTTTATCTTGAAAGCGCTCCTTGAGCCAAAAGACCCCACACCCCCACCTGTGAATGAGAGCCCTGTCATATCGGCCTCTGCCTTCTATTTCCCCATGCGTGACAGCGGCTCCAGTGCGCGCTCGAATCCCCCATAACCATATTGATGTATTCTTACGGGGGCTGGCTTTCGTCCCCTCCCTTCTCAGGTATCATACAGTCACACATGTCAATCCTCAGGCTCACGCTTGGCACCTCCTGGTTTCGCTCAATGCGAGCAGGGCTGTATGGTTGAAATACGAAGTAGCGCCTCAGGCTGTGTTTCCTCACATACCAAAAAGTTCCAAAGCGGCATTGGCTCTTGAAGTTGCCCAGAGAATCTTGTCACTACGAACCAAAACGCATTCGTTGATGGTTGCTTTCTCCTTCCTTTTCCCTTCCAGATCCTGGTCTCTGGCGTCGAGAGCCGCTTTGCAGGGACACAGGTGGGCTTCATTTCTGGATCAGCAGATGTTTTGACATGCAAAGGTTGGTTGCTTCTGCTGGCAAAGTTGTCGCAGAGCTCTCTCTCTCTCTCTATCTCTCCGGTGAGTGAAGCTGGACGAGCCTTTGTTCTCAGGCCGAAGATGCCTGCGACTATGAGCGCACTGGCAATCATCGGCTCTACCGGCCCCTTTTCCGGGCGGCGATTCAGCGCATGCTGTACAGCTGGCCTGTTTGGAAGATCCCAAGGTCAGGTTATAAGGGCGGCGGGGGGAGCTGAGCTATCCTGCGTCCAGTTACTAGGAGCTAACTTAGCTCTTACTAAATCATAAAAGTAGGTGGCAAGTTGATCCAGTAGTAGGAGGGCAGAGCGAGCTAAAGAAGGGAAAACAAGAAAAATGGTCTTAAACAAGGCGATACTTTATTTTTTTGGAAGACTGTGCGGACTGGCACTGCAGGCCGATGATTTGTGCCAATCCAGATCTGAGGGTGTGGAAGCCTGGAACCGACTTGTAGAGTTGGCTCCGCCCTAGTTTCACGAAGACATCGAGAGACCTGTGTTCGGTAAAGACATGTCATCTACGCCGGAAGTCAGACACTAAAAGTCAAACGCTGCACGTGCTGGTTCCATACCTTCTGAATCACTTCCAAAATACCTGGATGGTTCTATGACAACATGCTACAGGAAGAACGAAGAAGCACACGAAGCTCGGTGAAGCGTTGTTGAATGTGAGGAGTGGTGCTGCGATTCGTTGCGGGTTGTCAGGGCTGCTTTTCTGTTTCTCGGCAATCCGCTTCTGCTTTGGATTCCTGACTGCAGTGATTCGTGCCCTATTTGTGCGGACTTGCGACGAGTTGAGGAAACTTTGCGGTGGTCTGTGGCCACTGGGAGGATGCAGAATGTGCTCTAACTGCAGTGGTGGCTCGTTCAGGTGTAGACTGTGACGACTGTCAACTACCCTCAGTCGCTTTCCAGGGACAAATGCAGCAAGTCAAATGTGTGAAGCCGAGACAAGCCACCTACCGGAAGTTGCCACACGACTCTGAGCTGGACCGATCACAACACTTGTCACAAAAGATCTTTTGCGATCAGCGTCCTTTCTGTTCTTGCTCGTGTACCAGACAGCGTGTCGCTTCTAAGCCAAAGAGCTGCAGCGTGGAGCAGAAGGGGCTGCATGAAAGGCGTCCCATTTTTCAGGCTTCAGGGCCTAAAAGTATGTTCGTTTGGATTTGAAACTGGCCACAGGTAATTCGTCCGGGAGGCTGGAGAGCATACCTTGGAGGTGCTCTTGCACAGTGCTTTGCTCAGATTTTGGACGGGTGCAAATAGTACAAGGCCACTTCCGTTCTGCACAGACTTAAGACATGGGCGCCAGTTTTGTCCGCCACTTGTTGGGTAAAGCCAAGCACAAAAGGGCTGATCCTGACACATGAATAGGCCTTGTTAGCTTTTCATTTAGCCTTTCCATAGTTTTTCTTGAATCGGTTTCTGGGATTCACCAGCCTACACTGTGCACATCTCCCTCACAAGCCCTCCTTGGTGCTGAAGGTATTATGAGCGGCTCGGGGGACAGGCTGGATCTTCGAGCTCGCCCACAGCGTGCTCGAACCAAAATGGAAGACATATTAGAAGAGACCGAAACGCAGATTTCAATTAAATATCATGAATAATCATAGATGATCACAGACAATGCAGTCAGAAAAGTCTTTGATAGATGTTGAGCGGTAACCCTCTTGATTTTGGGCAGTTCGCCAACAGTGCGAGTCCAAAGCCTGCATCTTCATCTCTAGTATATACATCAAGTGTACTGTACTAGTTCAATGTCAACCTGTCCTGCTTAAGCACTCACCTGCGGCACCCGCAGCAATGCAGATTCCAGTGCTGTGGTGCTGGGGTGTCCAATGATCCAGGTCATCTACTTTGGCAAGCCCCATAGCTCAGCGTTTGAGGAGGCCTAGGCCTTAGGGCGACAAGACGAAGCGATTGCGAAGTCGAAGTTGAGCACCGCGCAAGACACCCCTAAACTACTGAAACCCCTTCAGCATTATATATATATTATATATATATGTAAAACATGTAAAACCAATCGAACTCTGTTTTGTTTGTCTTCGCACCCTGCACGGCCCTATTCTTTTTGCAGGCCCGACGGCAGCTGTGCGAGGCCGCAGCAGAGCTGCGGTGCAAGGATGCTTTGCAGCTCGAGCTGGATGAGGCGACTGCGGTCCGACTACTTTTTGCTGAAGTGGCGCTGTCAGGATGAGTCGGTTGGTCATAGTTGGAGCGACAGCAACACCCTGAAGCCATCGTAATTCTTCAGGACTTCCGCATTTGTCACGTTGGGGATTCTTTGCATCATGACGTTCGAGGAGCTCTTTCAGCTCCTTCCTCAGCTGTATTTTTTAAACTATTTCTCTCCAAATAACCCAAAAGTTAAAACTCTTCAATCTCATGGAGGGCAACATGATCTGAAACCGAGGTTGGCCTTGCTGCCGCCTTCGTAGCTCAAACAGGCCTGAAAACCACTCTACGGCTCGATTTGACGTGATATTTTATTAAGGTCTCCATGCTGAGGAGATGGGAGAAGAACCTTTGACGCAGGCCGGGAAGGTCGATTGACAGTTCTTTCCCAAGATTGTACAGTCTAGAGCAAGTATTCTGAGTCAGAATCTCTAACAGGAACGAATCCTTGACCTATGCAAGGAGTACAAGGCAAGCCCGTTTCATTCTGGTTCCTTCGCTGTGGACACTGTTGCAGCCCCGTCCGCAGGTTCCATTCCCGCAGGCAGCTGTCCCACGCTTTGTCTGGTGAGTGCTTTGGATCATGCAGATTTGATCAGTCTTCCGCATGCGACCTACGTGACAAGATCTCGTGACTGAACACATCATCGGACGGAGCAGATGCCCACATCATCGGACGGAGCAGATGCGAAAGAACGGCGAGCACCCGAAAGTGCCAGTGTGCTGCCTTTCCTTGGCCAGACAAAAGACCTCGGCAGCAAAAAGTCTAGAACCATTTGCATGCAAACTTGTTGATTGGTTGAGGCTTGCACGGGTTGAATTTTTGTCCTTTGCTATTGATTGTGTTGCGGACAACATCTCATCTAGATTTGGAGCAGTTTTGAGTCAGACGATTTTGAGTCTTCAAAAGCTACGTTGCCGCCCTGCTCTATACTAGAGCTGCTGTTTGCAGCTGCAGTGGCCCGTCATGTATGGGCATGGTCAGGGACTAAGAATTCCAGGAGCAATGGAGCATGCAGCAAATCATTGTGGCTCAAACTTGCAGCAATTCCTTTTGTGGTTCAGTTTCATTGGCTTCTCTGGGTTCGGCACAAGGGGAGATCACCATTTTCATGTGTCAGATTAGGAGACCTTGGACTGCTTGGAGCAATGGTGTCTTTAAAGAGTGCACAGATCATCTACTTTTCTTAATTCCTTTTCCTATATTCTCCCTCTCTCTCTGTTCTCTCTGAGTTCTCTCTGTGTGTTCTCGTTCTCGTTCTCGTTCTCGTTCTCGTTCTCGTTCTCGTTCTCTCTCTCTCTCTCTGGCTATGTCTTTTTCAATGTGACTGTCACTATGTTTGTCAACAGCGAATTCCTCCACACCAGCCTCAGTGTGAGATGAACGACGGACCCTTGACTCTTACTACAGGCTTGTCCTTAGGCCTCTATTAATGGTGTCAATGGGCAACACTTTGAGTGGTGTCAACTTCACAATTCATGGACCCTGCAGTGACTGACCCATACCTCAGAAGCCTCGTGTGACTCCGGGGGGAGCAGAAAGGTGTCTGTGCACCAGCTCTTCAGCGACGAGCTGCCAGATGAGGCTAGGCTCGCTGCCCGCTCCCCATCGCAATGTGATCTTCCTGATCGTCGCAATATGCAGGACTTGGCCCTGGGTTCCGTGCTGGAAACGAGGCGGCGGCAGCTGCAAAGACGGCAGCGTCCGAAGCCCGAACATTTGGTACATAGCGAAAGACAATTGTTATCCAGTTCTCCATTAGGTAAGGCATGGGTAAGGAAATTGCGTGGGGCCCAATCATGACATCACACACTAATGCTGAGTCTCTTGCATTTCTCATCACTCATATTCACGCCGCTTCACGATAAATTCCACCCCCCCCACTCCTGCTGTTTTCTGGGGCAGGTGGAACGGGGCACAACATTACTGTCTGGAACCCACCCCCCAAGTATATTGTCTTGTGGCCCAATTACAAAAGCCAGCCGATACTGTAGGCTAGGCAGAAGTTACTTCTGCGAACGTCATTAGGGGGTGTGGGTGGGGAGATGGGGAAGCAATTTCCACGGAGGTGATTTTTGGTGGCTTGGTGATGCAAAAGATGCAAGGTGACGGATGTATTGCATCACTAGCATCATTACTACCCAAGAGTAGTCTTTTGACATGTGAACATAAAAGTTATGTGAGAGTTATGTGACGTGCATAGAACATGCCTGGTGCCAGTCACCTGCCGAGACGGGCGTGCTATGATTTCCCGAGACCATTGCTTTTAGTTTCAATACCTCGTCTTGAGATTTCAACATGGCAGAAGTATGGAGAGGCCGCGGATGATGAGCCAATGACAAAAGCCAAATGCCGCGGATAATGAGCCAATAGCCAAAGCCAAATGCCGGCAGTAGTGGGGTGAGGGCTTGGGCAAGCATATCCACCACAGCAGTGAAGGTTGCCCCATCAGGAAGAGTTGCAACAGCTTACTGAACATGGCTGAAAGAACTATGTTATATAGAGCATGCCTCCTACCAGTCACTTGTGGAGACTAGTCCTATGATTCTGTAAGACTTTCAGTTGCAATACCCCGTCTTTACATTTCAGCATGGAAGAGAGAGGTTTATATATATATATATACATGTGTATATCTATCTAAAGCTAAAACATGCCTGGTAATAGTCACATGATCCAAGCTATATACTATACAGATATTGGCGCCCACTCCCACCTGCATCATCTACTGGAGTGAAGACGACCTTCCCGGCCCCGCCCCGGCAATGCCGCCAAAGATTTTATCCCGGTAAGAGACCCGAAACAGTGTGTGTGTGTGAGGTCTAGAGGTGCAGCAGCAGAAAGTCTAGAGATCTAGACGCATTGGGGTTCAGACAGGTGGAGTGTGAGTGACAGTGAGAGTGAGAGTGATAGAGAGAGAGAGAGAGTGTGAGTGAGTGAGTGAGTGAGTGAGTGCGTGCGTGCGTGCGTGCGTGCGTGCGTGCGTGAGTGAGTGAGTGAGTGAGTGCAAGTGAGATTCAGAGTGAGAATGAGAGTGACTGTGAGAGTGAGAGTGAGTGAGTGGGTGAATGTGATCACAAAGGGCCACGAAATCTCCTCTCTCCTTCTCCTCTCTCCTTCTCCTCTCTCCTTCTCCTCTCTCCTTCTCCTCTC